TGCAAAAGTTTGACATTTTTCATATATCTATATATATATAATTCTCCACCACTCGTGGAAGTGGCATTAGGTATTGGTTTCCTCTTTGCATTTTTATTCTATTTTACCTTTTTGAGCCTTGGATGAGGGCTTTTCATTTCCAGTTGAGTAAAGTGTCTTGATTTATTTATGTCTCCAGGTTATGCACTCTCCATGTTCCTTTGTTTTCTGGAAATAGAGGATTAGTTTAAATCTTTTTTTCTCTTTTTCCTATTGAACTACAATTTTAAATAGCATGTTTACTTGGAGTAATTTTTTTGGTTCTCTTTATTTTCATGCTAAACACAGAGTTACTATCCTGAATAATATTGGCAGTCTGCCCTATGCATAAGATGATCAGCCACAAACAGTTAAAAATGGAGAGAGGGGGATTAAACTTCTAGGGGACACCTAGGTGGTTACTTGTTTTGGAACCCACTTTTATTCTTCACATAGAGATTACATTTATCTGTGAGATTTATTCACTTTGCCCAAATGTATCCTGAAATTAATCCCCATACTGACACCACTGCTATTCAACTTCTACAGGCAATCTCAATGACATCTGCTCTCCGAAAACCAATGTCTGCTTTAGTTGATCTTCAATCTGCAACTTCTGTTCTACCAAGATCTAATTACTTCCCTTCACAGAATATGATTTTCCATCTGTCTTAAATAATTTCTAAAAATATCTTAAACTCTCTAACCACTAACGCCAAATTGTTTATAGTCCCAAACAGTAATTTCTCTGCATCCCCTCAAATTCTACGATCTTCTTCCTAATGCTCTATTTTCTTTCTATCCCTGTTATCTACCTTAAAAATCAGGAAATTATTAGTTATCAGCTCAAACGCTATATTCTCAATGAGAGTGGTATGTCTTTTCTTTTATTGTATTGATTGTGACTTGCTATCACTTATTTCTGTAAAGCAGTCTGGATAAGAGTACAGTTTAAGATATACAAGACAGACAGATAGATAGAGATAATCGTTATATAGTGTTATTGAAGGAAAACTCAAAGCACGATAAACTTCCAGAGTAATCTGTGAAACTGGTTTAGAACAGTTTGGCAATTTACTTGGGTCCCCAGCCACCCACAACACATCCGATCTTGTCCTGCAGGAGAAGTAGGGTGTCTTCAATGAGCTAAATCTGGCCGATATAGGACCACACTCACTAGCCAATAGGAGCTGCCCTGCTTGGCCGTGCTAAGCTCAGTGAAGCCAGATCCTTCTGCGTGGTCTACAGTTGCCCAGTAGAAATCAAGTAAGTTGTCAATCTGGTCTAAAGTAGCTTGACTAATTACACTGGGACTGAGCTAGAGCACTTGTGGTTCTTGGGTTTTTTACTATACTGAAAGAAGGCATAGATCCATTACAGTACATTGAACTGAAGCAAATACCCTGACAAGATAGTATTCTTACATTACCTAAAACCAAGAGTTGCTATGGTGATAAATTGCACAAGAAATACAGTTCTAATGTAGAGTCTGTGGAAAAAGCTGAGGATTGACGAAGAAACAATGATCTAGAAAAGGTTATTTGTTAAAATTTGGATATTTTATACATGTGCCCATATGGGCAAAATTGTACAAAATACAGCCTTTTCTGTAGCACATGTTTTAGAGTATACCATTAAGTAACCTTTAGTTAATTTGCTAAACTACAAATTCAAGATACCTGGAAGGGAAGTGTAAATTTTATCCAGACTAGTTGAAGGGTAAAAACTCTCCATTACTATACCTATATATTTATCCATTTAGCCTCTATGTACTGTGCTTTAGTCAAGACAAGTGTAACACTCACACTCACAAACTAAGCAGGTTGTGGGTTCTTCATCATACAAAAAGATAAAAAATTATCATTGATGTCTCCATCCCAAACACTATCTACATATTAAATAGTTATTAGCTCATTAGCTTTGGAAGATTGATAGTGCTCAGTTTTATAGTCACCTGCTCATCTTTTCAAGCTACAACACAGATCAATGGTCCCAATCATTTAATGGTTTGCAACCAGAGAGAGAAACAAAATAACAAATAAAGTGCCCATGGCTTTGTTGCAGCCTGTCCACGTGAAGCCATACATTGTTTGCAGATTCCTAGATGTTTTCTGAGTTTTGATACCGTGACTTTTTGGCATCCCATGTCTTTCTTTGCTCATATCTTTCATACTTAAGAAAATGCCTACATTAGCACATCCCTTTTATATAATGTTATAATCCTGAAGCCATATTGGAGTCAGAAATAATAAGGACAATGTCAATGAGTGGATGCATAGTAATAATAGTTCTCCAGCAATTTCCCACAATATCTTGTCTTTTAGGGTTTCTTTCTGTTTACATAATTATTGGATACATTAGAACACTAGTAATTTTTTCCTAGTGCTGGTCCACGTTTGTTTAGTTTTACCTTCTAAGCTCGTATGGATGATTTGATCATTTTCCAGTAAGAGTTTTAGAACTGCAATTATTTGCCTGTGAATTCCATCGTATTAAGCTGGATTGGCTGCAAGTCTTTCTTAATGTAAACATTTTTGCATAACAGCATTTATAATCTAAAGTACACGTCACACAGAAAAAATATCAGGCTGTCATTACTTTCGAGAAAATGCAATTTTGTTATACTAGCCAAACTGCTTGCAGATGTACACTGATCAGCTACAACATTAAAACCACTGACAGGTGAAGGGAATAACATTGATTATATCATTGCAATGGCACCATTCCAACAAAGCAATAAGGTACTGCACACAATCCCATCACTCTTAGCCAGTGTACAAACAAACCAGGACCAAGCACCAGGTCCCAATAACAGTATGCATGAAATACAAAACGGTTTAGGCACTCCTAGGTTCAGAAATAGAAAATGTATTGAAGCCCAATGTACCACAACGTTTCGACCTACACGGTCTTTGTAAAGCTGGTGTAACACAACATTTTGACCTACACGGTCTTTGTCCTGTCAAGGGTGGGATATATTAGGCAGTAAGTAAACAGTTCTCGAATTTCATGTTTTAATAGTAGGTTTCCTGTTGGATGGCTGGGTGCGTGTGTGTCGATTACCTGGTGTAATGGTATTTACTAATTAATGACTTTACATCATAAAGAAAGCATATTTAGTGTAATGCTTTGGGGGCACCACTAGAGGGAGTGTGTAGGAAGACATGTGCTTCTGGCAGTGACATCACAGGCCAGCCTACTTACACTGAATAAAACCAGATGGAGGAGAAAACTCTGTCCCTTTGCCTGTAACTGACTGAACCTAAGATGTAGTACCAGCTCTGACTTAACCCCAGCCAAAGGGCTGGGGCCTTGTAAGTAATATGTTTGTATTGTAACAGTAATAGCCTTTTGTAGTATTGTATTGTATAATTATTGAAATTGACATTCCGCTAGCATCTGTTTATTTGTTATAGTTATATTAAATATACATTTAATATTACAACGTTTTGTGTATTTTCTATCCACATATTCGACCATAATACCATGAATTATAAAAATATTAATGTTGTTCCGTATTGCTTAATTATTATGTATTAAGAGATTAATATTCATATTTAGGTCACGACCACAACATTTGGCGTAGTCGGCAGGATTATGCTTGAATATTGGGGAAAATATAAATGTTATGCATTTTGCTTAAATCATACTGTAAATTGTCTGTCTGTATACAAATGAATAAATGAATGATGATTTGGTTTTAATGGAATGAATGCAGATAGCAGATAGGGATTAGATATTTGTTTTTAAGGTATCTCTTGTTGTAGAACATAGTGATGAATTATTGTGTTGCTTGTTACGTTTTACCAACCTTTGGTCATTTTTATATATAAAACAAAAAACAATTTTGCTTTTTGTCTGACCATGTGGATTTTAATCCACCATTGACCACATGGTGTGAATGAGTTGAAGCCTAGTTTCATTGTTTGCTACCATTTGCATAGGAAAAGACTTTTCACTAAACTAGTTCACCAGGTTTTATTGCTAAATTTGACCCTGTTTGTGTACTAATTTACATTTGTTTGGTATTCATGGATTTGTCTAGTTGAAAAGAGATTTGGACAAAATGTATTAAATTAGTAGTTAAGAAAAAGATATGTTTAGTAAAGCAGATTCAGTGAATAATAGATTTATGTGTGCGTATACACAGAATATTAGTATAAATATATATGATTTTGACTCATGAAGGAGAGACCACCTTTTTAACAGCTGTGTGACCATGCTTTTCAGCTACAGCTGGGGGAGAATTTGTCCTTGTTGGGGGTGGGTAGTCTTGCCTGTATGAGAAAAAAAACTGCATTGTTTTGTAAATGTAATTGCCTAAGCTAATCAATTTGTGGAGTGTTTTTCAGCTTTATTATCCAGGACTAAGGAATTACTGGACATATGCAGGAACTGGTAACAAATGAACTGAAAAAATGGTAAAATAATTCCTTTGTCCTATTTAGTCTGAATATTTTAACAAGTTAGCATTTTTATCAAAGTAAGTGTAGGGGCTCAGATTAAGATTTATATTATTTTAGAAGCCATCTATAACTGATTTTAATATTTCCATGCTTTGAATTAGGGTGTATCTGCCTAGCTGGTGAACCTCCATAACATGGGCTGTGATTTTTGTTACAGTAGCGGGTGGGGAACCTGAGCTAGGGGGTATTTAAACGTGTCCGGATAAGGGGGAGCATACCCAATAGTTGTTGTGCAGTTCTATCCTGTATTATTATTTGAAACCCTGTATTACTTATAAGTAGCGTTTTGTAACTTATTTGTAATTGTTAATGTATATTGCTCTGGGAAAGGGATAGACAAAATCTCTGAGAGACCAGGAAATATATTTAAAAAAAGGGCGTATTACACTAGTGGTAGGGCGGCCTATCATGACCATAGAGACCCTTGGTGACTAGTTTTTGTTGTATATTGCCCTGGGAAGGGGATACGCTATCTAATAGAAATTCCTGAGAGACCAGGAAATATACAATAAGTGATACGTGAGTGTACTGGTTAAATTGCAGACATATTGGCCCAGAACCTTTAATCGAGCCGGAAAAGAGGCTGCTGTATGTTTGCTCTCTATAATTTTGCGGGGGCGGTCACCCCCATGCGGAAAGCCACTGCCATCACAGGGTGGTTAGTTGTGCAGGCCCTTAGCCGCGAGGTGCAAGCATGTCCGTGGAAAGGCTAGAAATTAATAGGGAGTCACTCATAGCTGTCAGAAGTGTTGAACTTTGAGACATATT